GCGTTATTATCATTTTTAGATTCATGACGGATCTTCGCCTCTCAAAAATATCAATAATCAAAAGGATCGGGAAGAATTGAATTCTAAATGCGTATCCGATCAAATATAACGAAGATCCCTCTGGAGAGCAGGGTGCGCCTTTTGATTGCCAGTGCGCGTCTTATGAATTCAAAATGAATAGCTTTCAATATTCTTCGTAGAGAAAGCATTCTAGAGATCTTTTTTTTTTTTCATAAATCAATAAAATGATAGAATAATGAATCGAGTATAATAGAACGCCGACTTTCAAAATATCTGATATCCCACTATCTTGCCCGTTCTAGCAGCTTTCGATCAACTACAATTGACTCTTCTATTGCCGGAATCTGAACTCACGGACAGCCTTGCCTTTCAACGTCAAAATCCATAAGACATCTAAATCATATTCTTTGATAAGATCGAAGGCAAATCAAAAATTTCTATCGATTCTCATTTCTCTTTCTTCTATATCACGGAATATAAATTATGACGTCTATTTGCGGGGATATAAAAGAACCAGCTCCATATATTTGCGAAGAATCTAATATTCGAGATCATCTATCAGATTAATTTCCTCCTCATCAGGAGATTTTTTAAAAATGGAGCAATCATCTAAGGCCGTCGAAACCCCTGCAATCTTGATCGTCTGCCCCAAAGGAATAGAAATCAGAAAGGAATAAATCATTCCGGCGCCGAGGAGTCCTGAACATCGAGAGCAATTCCTCCTCGGTCCGCCTAAATATCGGCTTCAGCGGCTCGCAGGGATATTGCGAGATATCTCCGCTCCTCAATCCGCCCAAGCTCGCACGCAAATTTTGCAGAGACTTCTCGTTGCACGCAGAAAGAAATAATCGTCTCGCGATCGCGGGGTCAGATCTGATATATCTCCTATCAATCTTATCGACTACATAAACGTATATATCCAATTCCGCCTCCGCGCAGAATTCGAGCGATCGCAGAAAAGGTCATATTGAAGGCGATCGGCGCCATGATGCAGCCAGAAAGTCGAATCTCATGGTTCCGGTTTTCCTAGATTTCCTTCCGTTTGGGGATGAATTTCTCGAGAGATTCTAGGGATTCAGAAAATAGCGATTTCTATCCTGGAAATAATTGAAAATAGACCCAGATTTCTATTCTAGAGATAATGCAAAACGGAATCATTTTCCAGATTTCCTAGATTTCCTCTCGTTTGAGGATAGATTGCTTACGATTTGGGATCTGAAGAGCTCATTTATCTAAAAATTCAAGTCAGATATTCTTTGCAATCTACGATTTGGGGAGCTCATTTATCAAAAGAAAATTAAGAAGGATATTATTTACGATTTGCGTTTTGAGGATTTCGATATTTAGATAAATTGAAGGGAAATATTGTTTGGAATTTGGGCGAGGGAATTCATTTATCCAATAATTTATATTGGATATTGCTTATGATCTGGGATTTGGGAAATTGATTTTTCAATTAATTTGAGGAGGATAGCATTTATAATTTGGGGAGTTCATTTATCCAAAAACTTAACGGATATATTACTCGCAAATCGCGATTTTGGGAATTCATTTATCCAAGAATTTCATGTAGTTAATATTTACGATTTGGGATCTGGGAAGCTCATTTATTTAAAAATTCATAGGAAATATTGCCGGCGATTTATGGAATTCATTTATCCAATAATTTAGCGGAGAAGCTATTTGCGATTTCGGATCTAGGGAATTTATTTGATGAAAAATTTCAGAGGCATATCATTTATAATCTAGGATTTGGGGAATTCATTTTTCAAAAAGCTAAGCAAATCATTCTTTGCGGTTTGTATTTTAACGAACTGATTTTTAATATAAATTAAAGGCATATATTGCTTGCGATTTATGATTTAGAAAATTCATTTGTCCAATAACCAATTTAATGGGATTAATATTTGCGATCTGGGATTTAGGTAGTTAATTTTTTATTAGAGAATTCATTTATGAAATTTTAGAATTTTCACGACTTCCCATATAAGATCCCTTAAAAATTTCTAATAGAGATATATAAAGATTCCGATATAAGAGACCTCCCAAAAAAAAAATATATAAAGAATACGCATATATTCGTATACATATATAGTAAATGAAAAATTGACCGAATTTATAGACGCTCCGCTTAGAAATATATTTTTTATCTAAAAAATCGATGAACAATGGAAAAGGAAAATCCGAACGGAAGCGCAATTTTCATTCAAATTTTAGAAATATTCCGCCCAAGAACGCGATCTTCGTCCAAATTTTAAGAATATTTCGCAAAGACGAGCGATTTTCATCAATATATTTAAAATATCTCGTACGAAATACGAAATACGATTTCCGAGAAACAAAATTCAGAGCACTTCGCACGAGAGCACTATTTTCTTCATTATTTTCAGAAAATTCCGCACGGGGGCGCGATTTTGAAAGACCCGGGCCTAGAGCGCGATTTTCTGCAAAATTTTGAAAATATTCAGCGCGAAAGCGCGATTTTCTTAAAGATTTTGACGATAATCAGAACGAGAACGTAATTTTCTTCAAAATTTCGATGAAACTCCGAACGGCAGCACGATCTTCTCAAATCTTTTCAGCAATTTTCAAAATGCCCCGCACGAGAGCGCGATTTTCATCAAAAGCCCTCTATCTATAATAACAAAATAAAAATTGAGAAATTCTATAATCGAAAATCAGGTAATCAAATAATATAGAAATTCATATATGAAATCCGATGAATTATCAAGATTTTAAATTCGCACGTATTTTTTCTCGATTCTGAAAGGTTTTATCCCTCCGCCCCCCGGGTCTTCACATTCCGCCTAGCCGTAGTGCAGAAAATTAAATAAAAAGAGAAAAATCGAAATCTTGGGAAATTTTTGGATGCGCGATTTTTTGATCGTGAAATCCCCCGCATCAAGCCTGGATTTTCCCCTCATTTATCTCTCTTGAGCTATCTACGCGGCAGCTTATAAAACTCCATGAACAGACGCGACCAATCTATAAATTCTAAAAAATTTTGGTTCTCCATCCTGGGGGTATATATTCTTCCGAACAGCCGCGCCGACGACCAGAGAGAGATAAATCATGCGGATTTAACATCGCGCATGAATCTCGACGAACCATCAATATATCAGACCGCACATTAAACCCAAAAAAAACAATCTAATAGATTCTGAAAGATTTTGGAGCCTCGGAGGAGCACATAAATCTCTGTGAATAGATACGACCAATCTATAGATTCTAAAAGGTTTTGGTTCTCCGTCCCGGATCTACGTGCTCCTCCGAACAGCCGCGCCCGCAATCAAAGAGAGATACATCACGCAGAATATATAAGGTCGGACGTGAATCTCGACGAACAATCAATATATAAGAACGACACATCACCAAAAACGGCCAACCTAATAGATTCTGAAAGATTTTGGATCTCCGGCCAGGGTCTATACCGAGCCGCCGCGCATAATAGCCGAAGAGAGAGAAATTGCTCGAAGACAGCCCGGTCTTTCCGCCTCATTTATCTTTCTTGGACTATCTGCGCGGCGGCTCGGGGGAGCGCAGATATCCCCATAGACAGAGGCAGCCAATCTGTCAATTCTAAATTTTAGTTCTCCGTCCCAGGTCTATGCTCTCTGCCGAGTAGCCACGCTAGACAGCCAAAGAGACAAATAAATCACGCGGAATCCCGCTCCGGGGTGAAAGGCCGCGCGACCAAAAATCTCCGAGATTTTCGGTCGCGCCGCCCGCACCAAAAATCTCGGAGATTTTAGAGCCTCTAGCTTTTCTGAAGGGTTCTAAAATCTCCGAGATTTTAGAGCCCCTGGGGAGCCCGCAGGAGGCGTTTTAGAGGTGAGCCGGAAAGGCTAGGCCGCGCGCGGTCGAAATGGCCGCAAGTGGAGGTATATCTCGAGCAGGAAAACGATTTTCGAAAAAAAAGATCATCATCAAAACGTCAAAAAAATCGAAGTGTTTCGCGCCAGAACGCAATTTTTGAGAACCCAAGCAAATCTGCAATTTTGAGGATGTCTCGCGCGAGAGCGCGATTCTTGAAAATCGGAGCGCGACCAATTCGACATAGACCCCCCCTATCAAGAGCATTTTAAAGGCTATCTCTCTCAACTTAGATCGGTCTAGATGAAGATAAATCTACGAAATTTCGAGGATGTCTGAAGCGGGAGCGTGATTTTCCAAAAAACAATCATCATCAAAACGTCAAAAAAATCGAGATGCCTCGCGCTGGAGAGCAATTTTTCACATTTTATAAAGTCAAAAAACGCGCGGTAACGCGATTTTTGAAAAATGGCCGCGCCGTCCCGTTCGGTCACGACCCCCCACCAAGAGCACTTTAAAGGCGATGTCCTATATTTGTTGATAGAATTTCGATTAAAAAAAAAAAAAAAAACATCGATTTGTTGAGGATATCTTGAGCGAGAGCGCGATTTTAGGCGAACATAGGCGCGTCCCAAACGTCTGCGCGACGGAAGGGCTCGCAGATGGTGCCGGGCGATGGTGCATCCAAACAATTAGAATCCCACAATGCGTGCGGGGAAAAAACAACACAGGAATTATTCTGCTAGCAGGGCCAGTGGAAATGAAAATTCCGGCGCTTCTGCTACTTTGCAAGACCCTCTCAAATTGGATAATGTACAAAAGGCCCCGTAACCCGTAAGACAAAATTTTTGGAGCGCCCATATATTTGTGGCATGATAAGACTTCTTATTTACATATTTGCATTTGGATAACCACTCAAATGCAATCCCAGCCTCCTCAATGCCCTTAAACAAGAAATGAAAGTCCGTGAAACAATCTCCTCAACATCCCCGATGCACAGGTTTCTTTATTCGCACATGCATGGTGCATGTCTAGTTCGTGAAGTACCATTAGCAGACTTTGTCGTTCAGAGTGAGGTGCTCTGTCATGTTCAACATACACCTCAGCCAGCACAAAAAAAGCAATGGCCAGGCTACATACTGGTCAAAGCAAGTTCAGGTAGTCACCGGCAGAAGGCGTCCCTGCAAGACGTTGTGCCCTGTTGTGCGCCTTCCCGCTGCTTCTGATAAGTTGGAACTCAGCCTGTGGCCGGAAGGGAGGCCGATTGGACAAGGAAAGCAAGCTAGTTCAAAACAATTCGTGCCCGAAGCCTGTAGCTGTTGAAACAGCACAAGGACTTGGCAGCCGGATCCCGCCTGGTCTAGGGTGCGGAGGATGCTGGAAAACCAATATCAATCTTCACAGCATCCCATCTCCACATCTCAAAAGCACAACCTGCCTCACTGGCACAGAAAAGCCTTGTAAACAGTGACGAGCTTGAAGCGCGCCTGATTTTCGTGCGGGGATACTCACGACGCAAGGCCCACATCAACGTCAAACAACTGCATTTGTTTTCAAAGTCGGTACTCAGCTTCAGATCTATCGGATCTGCTTAGCTTCAACGGAACAGCTCAGATCCATCTGAAGCCATTGGGTCAGATGGAGCTGCACCACCATTGTGTGAGTCTAAAGGCACAGGTGTTAGGAAATCAACTCGAAATGGCTGTATACTATGTACAGCTAGACTGTGGGGTGCTTTGACCTCGGCAGCTTCCCAAACATTCATTGTCTGCTGCGTGCCTCAGACTTGCAGGCAACAAGCAGACTGCACCTTCATGACTCTTCTCATCCACTGTCCAGCCAAAGGTGCAGCTCTTTCTTGTGCCAGCGCAGATTGTCCTTATATCTGGTCGGCCACAGGATTAAGAAAAATCAGTGCGGTCATTGCGCAATAAACCGGTCCTCTGGCAGGAAGGGCTGGCCCAACCGGCGAGCGTGATTGGGCGGTCTAGGCAGGACACTTGGATACTGTTGTTCGAGCTTCCGGTAGATGATGTTCCATTACTGCATGAAATGCTTATAACGCACACCCTGTGAAATGACTGCCTTGAACATACTTTCAAGACCTCTGCACGGGTGGCAAAGCACTGATGCTGCTACCCCCAGGTCCACACTGGTAAGTTCTTGTCATATGCACCATGCCGGCAACGATAACGCCACCCGGTTCTCGCGCGGGCTGCCAGCTCTGAGAATCGTGGCGTGAAGTTGTTCCATCCCTTTTTTGATTTTGGTGTATTCCATTAAAAGCTAAGAGCCTGAGGGGGAACGCAAAACGCTTGCAACATGTGAACGGGTGTGTAAATGAAACAAGACCCAAAAAGCGGAATGGGTCGGAAAGGAGTGACTCTACATCCGTACGGGTGATCTCGACACTGACTAGGGGAAGACTCCAGCAAACCGCACCCTACGATCAGCACTGCGGTGATGCCCAGGGGGACAGTAACAAAGACGGAGAACGGCAACTGGGCATCTAGACTCCGGAGGGCTTCCTTGGGCTGCAGAAAACTCCTGCGCGCAGCCCAGTGAATTGTCGAGGGCAATTTTGCAGGTAAGTCGGGATACCTTTGGGAAGTTTGTGTGGAAGTTTCGGTGGAATTTCGTTCAAGGCCATTTCTTCGTTCAAGATTTTGCGCACAGCTTTGTGCAAAACTTTGCGAAAAGATTGCATACCAACACTTCATGCTAACGCTTTGAGCAAACTTCGGAAAAAATCTTCGCGCACCAGACCTCGCGCCGCCAAACTTCGCGTCCCGAAATTAACTTCGCGGCCCCAACTTTGTCACACTGCACTTTACGCCCTTTACGCAGTCTGCCAACATTTCAGCCCGCTTACCTCAAATGTGTCCCTTGGAAGCAGCATGCGCGACCCCAAGTAACGAACAGTATGTATGCAGAACACGTTGATGCAATAGTCTTGCCTTGCAACCGAATCCGCTGAACAATTTTCAAAATGCAACATTATTCGTAAAATTATTTCTGAGAAGACCCGGGCCTAATACTGTCGACCTTGGAATGAATCTCACGCTTCCGCCACTGCCCCGAATACGGCCTTCTAAGCTTCAAGCACGCTGCTGCAGGGGCGTACATGCAAACTTGGTCAGGTTTAAGAATACGTCAGTGTCATGTGGGGATATAGTTCTGTGCCAAGCCTGGGCAGCATGTAGAAAGCGAATGGTAGCCGCCTCTGAAGCAGTCCTGTCATGCTGCTAGAACATGTCAGAAATATTCGGTAATGCAGCTGATGGAAGGCATATGATTGCTGTGCACGTTCCCGCAGAGCTTGTTTTATTGCCTTTTGACCTTCGGTGCTGTTTTGGGTGGCCAAGGTAAAAATTCCACGGGGAACACTCATTGGATCCACGATGGCGCTAAGTCCGTCCTCTGATCTTCTGCAATCTGCATCAGCTGAGGCAACCTTGGGCAATTGAGGCAAGATGAGGACGTTCCAAATTTGGGTGCCAGGATCTAGGCGAGCCTGACAGACCTAGACCCTTAAACCCCAAATAGTCGTTTCCGTTTTCTTGTGCATTATCCCTATAAAACCCTAAACCCTAATCCCTGAACCCTAATCCCTACACCCTAGTCCCTAGACCCTACCCCTATTCCCTAAACGCTAAGCCCTATACTACCCTGAAAGAAAATTGAGCCGAAGCGCTGTGGAAGCAGCACTGTTGTGAAGGAGCGAATCAAGGCATGTGCCTGGAGTACAGAATCAAGATCAAGCTGATTAAGCAGCTATTACTACCATTGCTATTATTAGTGTTGATGCTAGTACTAGCAGTACTATTACTACTATTATTACTGTTATTATGGTCATTACTATTATTACTATTACGTTTTCGGTATCTTTATTACTTTTGATGCTAGTATTACTATTAATGCCATTTTTTTTTAATATTGTCTCTTACGAAGTGTCAGCAAAGCCTTCTTGAGCCCAGCCTTGCTCGCCTTGCTCAAAGTCCCCAGCTTTTGGGCTTCTGCTCGACCCCTGCTCTCCCGAATGCGGCTTTGTACCTTCAGATGAGCTATAGTCTTGGCTCCTAGCATCCCCTTTATACCTCCTATAATAGTCCTTTATGGAACCCTCTTTAAGGAGTTTGGACTATAGCTCAGATAGCCAAGACTGTCATCATCTGTCCTCCCAGTGCTGGCATGGAAACAGCTGATAGAAGCCTGCTCTAGCATGGTGGGAATGCTGCGCTCTCAAAGGCTCAACACTTTTTACAGAAAGAGAGTGTATTCGAGGAAATTTGCACACAAAAGCAGAATTACAACCAAAGCCCATCCAAGGACACCCACATCTATCGGCTTTTCAGAGCTGTAGGATTAATTTGGGTGGAGGGCTCAAGAGGGGCTTGGGCTGGGTTTGGTATCAGCTTGGGATGGATTTGTGACGGGTTTTGGATGAGCCTGTGGTAGGTTTGGGCCGGGTCTGCGTGTGCGTGGGGCTTTGGGGGATGCATTTGTTGTGGTTAAGAATGGGCTGGCCTTTGGATGGTTGGAGGCCTTGGTATTGATATGGTGTACCCATCTGACAGCTGTGTTGAGCTGCGAATCCCCATACTTTTCATAGCGCGAAAATCAGGCTTCGCTCAGTTTCCCACCTGGGCAGTTTTCTTTGCATAAGCTTGCGTGGGATCGTTTGGACATGCATGGTAACGAATATGTAGCGCTAGGCTACCATGGCGCGCAGCTTTGCGCTGCCATGCTTTTGCTATATCCTGATGCCAAAGTCATTCCATTTCGCAAACCCTTGCACTGAGACTCGCTCGAAACGATGAGTAGAAATGCGAGAATTGGATTGGCCGGCTGCATCTGTAATGTTCTGCATCATGTTCGCCATGTAGGTGATCGTATAGGATAAGGGAGCGGTGGGCCTGGGTGGATGTGAGGTGGATGTGGCATGGACTTGGGGTGAGCTTCGGTGGAATTTGAGGTGAGTCTGGGCTGTGTAACACCTCACTGGCACTAGGCCTCTAGGCGATAAAGCCGCCGCAAGGGAGTGGTGGCCGGGGCAACACATAACAAGCTTCGTACACAAAGAGGTCCTTTTCAACAACGGCATCCGCTCGACATGATGCGGTATGGGCCAACCTACCTAGGACCGAACCAAACCATGAATTCCCGCTGAGGGGGCCCCAGGAAGACGTGCTCATGGTGCTGCGAATGAGTCTGTGCAAAATGTGCCAATCAATCTGATGGCCACCTCCAAATCCCGCTCGCGTTAACTCCCTTGCCTGCCCCGTGTCGTTTTTGCCTCCTCAACTTAGCTGCTTCGGATGAAACGGCGGGCCAGTGCTGCTGATGCTGCTGGCGCTCCCAAACCCACCTCCAATATGGCTTTGTGAAACAGACACTGTCCAATACACTTTGTACTCACCAGACCACGCCTGGGTGGGGTGAAGCTGCGAAATCGAGCTGCATTTGAACACTGCCAGGAAAGAAACGCATAACCACGGATGCTGCAAAGCTGACCCAACCCTTATCCTGTTGATTGGCACAGGGTGCGCAGGGTCGTGGACTGCTGAAGGACGGGCAGCAACGGATCCGCACGTGGACACGATTTAGTGACAAAGTCAGGACCACATCTGGCAGTCCCCTGCATCAAGCCGCAATTTTTGCGCAGATACCAGACCCGGGGGATGACAGACCACCTGGTGATCACCTACTGCATGATATCCTGACAAGCTCCAAGCATCCTGACGAGCTCCCGATCGCGCATTTTAGTTGCCTAGATCAGACCTCTGGCCCATCAGTAAACGTCATCAGCATGGCTTGCCTCCTCGATGCGACCACGGAGGTCATCACATGCGCCAAGTGCGGCCTAGAGCCCGGAGACAGCATGTCATCGCACCCCATAAACCCAGAATAACACCGTAACGCATCATCAGCGCCTCCACCTCCAAAGCAGCAGAGCTCACGCGCAATTTTGCCTTCAGCTCCTGTGCTTCAGTGGAAGACTCTGCTACCAAGTGAACTTAACTGGCTTCTAGCGTGCAACAAGCGCAATCAAAGCAAGCAAATGAGTAACTCCAATCTAGTCCGAGCATCTTGATGGAGCTGTGCGTCCTACAGTCAAAAAGGTCACTGCAGCTGCATCTCTGCACTAGACATCAGCAGGCATACTCTACAGTCCATGAAAGCAATGTGACATCGAGCTTTGTCCTCCTCAGCCTTCAGTTGCATGGATGCTGCAAGGCCCAGATCATCTTCTAGTAACGCGCGTGCGACGCTCTCGACCTTCCCACAAAGAGGCATCAAACTCCAGAACCCAATTCGCCCAGGAGCTCTTGAGCGCTTGCCTCTGACAGCAACAGCTCAGCTCCATTTGCACTTTGTTGCCGCCGTGCGTCAGCAGCATGCAGGGCTGACTTGACCTTCAGAGCCAGAGACAGGCACAGAAGTCCTAGCCTGCTAGTACTTGTAAGCTGAAAGGCTGGGAAGACGA